CTTTCTTATCTTTATCTAATCATTATTTCCTATTTTGTTCATTTGCGGTTTTCCAGCTGAGGATGGTGGTTAATTGATTAGTATTCGGTAAAACCATCAAAACTAGTCCTGTGAAAATTTTGAAAATTAACGCTTAATTTTTGTTGTTTGACTACTGAATTGGTACTTGTTCGGCGTGTTATTGTGTTTTAATTATTCAGTAACTTACCATTAAGATCAATGGGTTTTGATATGGTCGGATGTAAACATTTTGTGATTACGTCGTAAATATACATATAAATATATTTTTTTTCTTTTTCTACAATATCTCAGAGTGCTAAGTATGTGAAAATAACTCATTTTCAAACAACAATCTGAACGAAATTAAATGCTATACTTTTTCCAGAACAGTTTAATTGAAATATTTTCACGAGTTTTTGTTAATTACATTAGAAAAAAATAAGGTTATTCGATTTTATTCGGCTAAGGATTGCAAATATTAAGATGAAAATTTATTGCATAATTAATATTAAAATTGCACATTATTTCTTTTCTATTTACTTAGCTTCTTCCTAAAATACTTTCTTAAGTATGAGATGATATTTCAGCTTCTGAGGCATCTTTTAAATAGAAAATCTGAGTTAATTTATAATTAATCCTCTGTTCGGTTCATTTCGATATAGAGCACCCTTTATTTTAATGGTGATATATGTTAAATATTGATGCTGATTTCCATGTACTTTTCTATGAATATTTCTGAAAGGGAATAAAAAAAAAGGATTCTTTTTTAATATTATTGAAAGCTTGTAACTGAGTTATTATAAAATGTAAGGAATTAATTATTTTAATACTTATCAGATTTTTTTTACCTTTAATTTCAACAATAATATTCTAAAAACTCTTCTTTACTACTTCTTTAAGTACCTATCTCATCGAATTTGCTTTACAATATCTTTAACAGACTGATTCCAGTGCAAACAGTTCTTGCTTAAATAGTTTTATAAATGTAGTTGTCACGATAATTTCAATTTAATGACTAGATTTCTTCATTTTAACTTTCACGGGAGTTGATGAATGAATAAATCCTTCATTTCCAAATACATTTATAAATAATTTAATAAATATTTCCGTATTTTGTTAAAGGCAAATACATGCGTTTTGCAAGCATATGCATAAAAATCCATATATATTTAATATTTTTCATTTTCGGTGTGTACAAATCTTTAATTTCTGTGCATTCACTAACCTTTTCGAGTAAAGTAATTTACAATAATTTAGCATATACCAGAAATTTTTACATAAGAAAAGAAATATGTATAAATATAATTTGAATGAAAATTACATGCATTATTTTTAATATGCACCCAAAGTCAGTTTTCCTTCGAAATTCCTCAACGATGGCATCTCTCCCTTTAAGCAGACAGTCCTTGTATGTCTTCCCGTATGTAATAAATCCTAACCTGACCTATGAGCCTAATTACAAATATTTTAACAAGTATAATTTTATACTTGCATATAGCCATCAAGTTTCAAACTTTTGACTTGAAACACATTTTAGGATATATTCATTAGCGAATTCAAATTTTCTATTAAATATATTTTGGCAGAGCATTCAATACCTCTTTTAGCGATTTTACCCAGTTTAATAGCTCTTTGATAATATAATAAATAATAACTATCCATTTCACATTTAAACATTAACATCACTGTCATCGGATCGCAATCTTGATTGCCATACTCTGCATAATATGGCTTCATTTTTTAAAACATATTGATCTAAACTAATTGATCTAAATTCGCAAATATCTGAAATTTTCATACTGCGAGGTAATCCAGAAGTAACAAATATACGAAGCATATTTATATACCGATTAATAACATTAATGATGCCGTTTTTATGCATTTAAAGTTTTTCAAATATAACAGACCACTACTGAAGGTGTTTCATACGTTTAAATCATCAATTAAACATGTTGCTAAGTAAAATTTTAAAAAAAAGAGACATTTTTTTTTCATTTTTTAGTTAATCGAAAGTGTAAACCCAAATCGATTACTTTTGTTATATAAAAATAAAATGATAATATGTGGATAACAAAACATGTATTTCGTTTAAAACATGTTGGTGTTTGGAACATAATGTAAAAGTAGAGAATAGGAACATAATGTAAAGGTAGAGAATATTAAGGGTATCGAAAGACGTATACAAATTTAAAAGTACCGAAAAAATTTCGATTTGTATGGAACTGTCGTGTGTGTAAAAACTATCAAAGCGCTGTCGACGAAGCTCTGGATGTAAACAAAAAACACTCCATTTTTTCTTCCTCCTTTGTCTCTCCCATGCGTAAATTCTTCTTTACGGCGAATCCTAATTTGTCTCTTTGTCGAAAATATTTTTCATTCACAGGCTCAGTTACATCAGTATGTACGCTGTTATAATTTTCAGCTGGACGCACTAAAGCAGGAAAAATTATTTCTTCCGGAGCAAGGGTCAATCTATCGACGCGAATAATTTGGTGGGAGTCCGGATTAAGAGAATAAAGAGCGATTATTTGCCACATTCGGCAGCAACCTTTGAGGAAAGAAAGTATATTGTAAGAGCGTTCATTCTATTCCAGCTCAAGATCGAAACTACCCTGGCAATCGAAGTTCTAACAAGCATACCGTATTAATTCATCGATCGGTAGTATTGATAGAAGATAGATACGTAAATAGATTAGACAGTTAAAGAGATATGACATACAAATAGAGATATGTGAATTCATAAAGGATCCATTAACGAATAAATCGATCCATAAAGAGTCAGAAAGATAAACAAACAAAGTTTAAGATATTTTATTTCTCCTTACCGTGGGTCTTTCTAGCGTAATTGGTGTTTGGTGTATTTAATTATAACAAAGCACACTAGGGCTATCTGCCTAAGAGGAGGGATGCCTTCGTGGAGGACTTTCTAAGGGAAACTGGCTCGTATACACGTTAAACATGGGGAAAACCTTAAAACGCCCATGCAGCCAGCCGTTTGCGGGATTCGAACCTCGAACCGAACTACCAGTGTTCAGCGACTTTACCGCTCGGCCGCTGGGGGGCCCTCTCCAGCGTAATTGGAAGCATCGCTAGCAACAGGAAGGTCCGGAGATCGAATCCAGAGGAGGGTATCAGTTATTTTTCCTTTCCAATTCCGAACCTGATAACTGAGCAAGTGGCGCTCGAACTAAAATGTGGTGGAAAATATTTAGTCAGGACTTAAATTTTGTAAATGAATTCTCTTCTCCTTAGTCGCCCTTTAAATGAGAGAGAATGTAAGGTATAGTTTTCCCTCATTACTGCATGCTTTCATGGTGTAATTAGATTCAGGTAAAAATCGGGAGGTCCCGGAGATCGAATCCCAGCGACAGTATAGTATAATTTTCATATTTCATGCTTCGACAAACCTAATAGTTCTATACGAGAAACGTCAACTTCAATTTTTCAATCCTGTTAGTTATTTCGCACTGAACAATTTTACTTGTTAATGATGCAAACAAGTAAGACTGTTATCCTCGTTATTTAACAAAGACAAGGAAATACATGCAAATTAAAACAATAATTTTTATTCTAAAAAAAAAAAAAGCACTGTGAAGAACCGAAGGTTGAAGACGCGAATATTAAGGAATAGGAATCCGTAACTTAAGTTACAGGAGTATATTTTTGTAGGTGAAAGATTTCAAAGGTCCTAGATTCGACAGCTATTTCGAAACCGCAGTCACACAAATTTATTCATGTAACGCCGATTCGTTTACATATTATCAATTTCTTTAACATCTTTCATTTTCATAGCTGTATCCATAGCTTTCATTTTTCAAAGCAGCAACCCCGACTATTCGGTGGTTAACAAAGATATATTCCTACAGTTGTGTTCAACGTAAGTCCCAGGAAAGTATAATGTTGTTTGTAAAGTAGTGATCGTATATGGAAAGGCGCTTGAAATTTGCTCGTCTAGAAATAATTCTAATGAATCTGGCATCAGAGAAAACGAGCTTTTTAACATCTGTTTACGAGCTCCTAGGTCCCAAAAAATAATGGAAATTTGTTATTATTTAGCAAAATGTGCTCGTTCAGAGGTATTCTCAAAAGTTTTCTGAAAATTCTTGGATATCAGAACTGATATTATTCTTTGTTCAAGGTCTTGATGAAAAGGAGGAAAGGAAATGGGCAAAGAAGAAAGATCATCCCGGTGGAGCCAAAGACTTTGGGCAGTGATACAGTCAAAACTCTTGATGCCATCCATGGTTTTTATTGGAGCATTTCAGTGGTTAAGCGCTCGGATATAGGTTTAAGCAACTATACAATTATTGCCATTCACGTTCGTTTAAAACTGTTATGGAAGAAATATGCTTGCATATTAAAAATTGAGAGCTAGAATTACTACAGCTTTGCAATAAAAATCAAAGGAAATACAAAAATGATGCCAACGAATTTTTATTTACATCTGAGCTATAATGAGACTTCTGCCCGGTGATAGACTTACCGCTTTACTGTTATTATTCGTGAAAAATCTTAATTTTTACTTCTGAATAGATTTGAAATTTTACTTTGAGGTACACTTATGAATGAGATCTGTACACGTATGTACTTATAAATTAGATCTACAAAAACTGCTTATTTAAGCCAAACTCCAGTTAAAGCGATTATATCTTCAAAAGACACAGAACGTAAAATTTATCGATGCACAATTTATTTGCTTTACAGCTTTTGAGTGTTCCAAGCAGAAACTTGATGTTTGGCTTTGAGCTCTAAGTATTCATAAAAAAAAACGAATTTCTTACTTAAACGAACTTAAAAAGTTTTATCAACGCTTTTTCAACGCTGTACCACACATGCCATCGAACGTGAACTGCATATTAATCACGAAGAAAAAAAAAAAAAAAAGAGAGAGAGAGAGAGGAAGAATTGTACTAGATTCAAAGGTATTTTCTCATCATGAGACCTGCGATGAAAATTATCACACCGGGAATGACGTCATTAGCTTGCTTGACCTCTAGTTAGTTTAGAGTCGGGAAACCACTAGCTAGTAATGGGAGTCATAGCACGGGTGGAGAACAGAAAGGAGGACACATGAAAAGCTGTTCTTCTCATGTCCTGATCTTATTCAAACACGCAGTGGGTTTCCAGGTAAGTTTACTTTGCATTTTGTCCAAAAGATATAAAAGTACGACTTATGTTTGTAAAAAACATGCATTTATAATTTAAGTATCGTTGAAAACCAAGAAGGAAATATGTATGTTGATAACTGAAAGGAAACAGGGAAGTGTGGTAGAACTTCCGTTCGTTACGAGAAAGGAGATTAATTTCTAGGAAATAATATAGCGCGTACTTTTGTTTTTGAAGTTCTGCATTGTTTGTAACTCATTAAAATTCAGTTGTAGCATTTTATTTTATCTTAATTTTTCCAAGTTTTTGATCCAAAAATTTATGGCTGTGATCTGAAATTTATATAACAATAAATTAAATGAAAATAATATTTTTTATTTTTTGAATTTCAGTATTTTTTATGTAAAGTATATATGAGATGAGATCATGAGTATACATGACATGTAAACTCATGATCATGAGTCATCAGTATACATGAGTATACATGACATATGTAAAGTATACATGACATGATACTAACATGAGTTCTCACTCAAACTAAATTTATATGAGTTTTCGATCATAAAATTTTCAAAGCAAAAAACTCAAGCCACATTGTTTTCAATAAAAGTTTAGTTCGAATATCTGAAATAACATAGTAATAAAGATATAATTTAAATTTTTTTTCCATGAGAATGCATTTTTCCCAAAGATTTAATATTTAAATTTAATTCGTTAACATCACCAGAATGTAAACATTTGTGGAACTATTAGTCTATTTTGAAGCAGAAGATGTGAAAAATGTAAATGCCCTCGCCGTGACTCGAACCTGGAGCCCTCACGCCCCGAGTGTGCTAAAATTACACCGCGAAACCATGCTGGAAGGACGAAGAAAATACTTTCTCCCTTTTAGGGCGAGTGGGGATTAGGAGACCCAATCGCCAAATCTTGGTGGTCACCATCTTTTAGTTCGGGCGCAATTTGTATAGTGATTAAGTTTTTGTACGAGGAGACACGAAAAATAAGCAGTGCCCTTGTCGAGGCTCGAGCTTGGACCTCTCGAATACGCACCGAACGTGCTACTGTTACACCACGAAGGCATGCTGTAACGAGGGAGAAAATACCTATTATATATAATAATAGTATTATACCATCAATAAACTGAGCACAAATTCATACTAAAATGTATGAATTTGTGTTCAGTTTATTGATGGTATAATACTATTATTATTATGTTTTACTAGAATCGCAGCAATTTTCGATTACGTTAAAACTTTCCTTCGGATAAGACTATTTTACTGTTCGATGCTGCATTCCTTGGATGATAAAACTAAAAAAAAAAATTATATAGCTCATGAATAAACTTCACCGTTATCAATTGTCTTCTACAGTATAGGAAATAGCCACACCTAAGATGGTTTCCTTGCTTTTAACGTAAAAATACATTTCCGCTATGTGTAAATCTCTAAACTATTGTTTATGCTTGAATGTTAGGTCATACATGCTGCTGAAAGAAACACTTATAGTCAGTATTGCCTGCAATTATGCTACGAAACGAAAGTTGTGTGTATTGCCATATGGAAAAAACATATTTGTTTTAGAAACATTGAAGTAGCTAAGCGAGTAAAATTTCATTTAACGTGAATAATGGATGATTTATACAGATTAGTTATGGTCTATCTCCCTCTGAAATGATGCTCTTCATAATCCGTCTCTAATATGCATCAGCAAACTTCGGGAGGATTTCCTGACTTTCACTTTATTTTGTAAAAGCCGACACTGAATGCAGGTTTTGTTTTCGTTGCAAATGCCCGAAAAGAACAATTTAATATTCTCAGTTTTCTCACTGAATGATCTCTAGCATTTTTAAGCTGTTAATTTAGAATCTTTTAAATTTTTTTATTTATGGTTCGGAAATGTATAAAAAAATTCTTTGCTAATTTTTTTTAGGCACCAAAATCGTTATTAGTCTCAAAGTTCACTTTTTTGTTCGTATCACTTTCCAAATGTATTATTTTTAAAGAAATAATGTTGCGAATATACAAAAGGTAAGGCAACATTTAGCACTTTATCGGGAATTCTAAAAACATCAGGTATAAAATATGTTGCTTCATACGCGCCAGTTTGTTTTCCTTTGGCGAAAGGTAATATTAAATTTTTCTTTTTAAATTTAATCTCCCTGTGTTTCATTAATAAATGAAAGATTTAAAAGCAATACACGTAGTTCTTTATGTTTTTATTGATTACCTATTGAATCTGCAAAATTTCACTATCTGGATTTAATAAAAGCATTATATATATATAATATATTATTATATAAACATTATATATATATATACTTTACTTTTACAGGGACCAGTAAAGAGGCCTGGGCGATTTAGCTGTTAGTTATTTGAAAAGTGGAACAAACAGCAAAAGTGATTTGGCGTAAAAGTGAAATTTGACAATAATAGACCTTCTGGGATAAAAAGGTATATGATAACACTTAATAGTGTATAGGGAATTATCTAAATAAGCGGGTTTTAAAAATCTTGTGATTTTGCTGTTGAATTTTATGCAGTGTAAAGGCGAAGAAAGTGATGTCTAATAATACACTTAAAAGGGAAAAAAAATGCGCCATCAGGAGTGAGTCCAAGAACAGAGAGATAAAATGCAACCTCAATGATGCCATAAAAAACATTACTAAACCCTCCGATTGCGATGATAAAATATGAAATCCTTTCCGATTTCCTTTTATTCCATTCCTTTTTTACATCTGTCTGTTACAAAATTGTCCTTTTTAGTTTTATTTATCCTTCATCAGACGACTTTTTCATTAAAATAAAATATCTCACAAAAATTTTTTTGAAATCATGCTTAAATTCCTTTTGAATAATATATTTTTGAAAACAAGATATATTATTGCAATACATTAAAACTCCAAAGTGATTAGGAATATATAGACTTATTGTTTTACTAGAAATGTTGATACTTAGCACGACTCAATGATACACGTTCAATGATACATGTGGAAACTATACATACGAATACTGAACGGTACTTGAACGGGGAAAGATAGCCAAACCTGGATAAACTGCCTTTGAGAAAAGTCTTGCGTAAAAGAACTGCCGAAATCCCTTAACAGAGTTTTTAAGTGTTTCCTAACATGTCTTCTAGGAATCGAACATTAACGAAGAGGTCACACAACGCGTTATTGAGTAGGTGATTATAATGTTTTGGCTCAGTTAAGTTACACATGGAGAAAACACTGAAAACATCCATACAACTAAACAGCTCAGCTACTGGTGAGGCATTGCAGAGTACTGCTTCGAGAAATATTTTTCTTATGTCTAGTTATTTACATATTTTAAAATAATTATATGTATCAAATTTAGAATTAGACATATTTAGAATTTTATGAGACATTTTAAGTAAAATGTATCATTTCTTTTAGAAAAAATATAAAAAGTCCCCTCACACTTACTAAGGCCTTCACCAGCTTTCCGTTTGATAGAAAATAAGATAGAAAGCAATAATTTTAAATTTAGACTTAATAGTTCAGTGTGTGAAATTATTAATGTGAAAGTGAAAATTTAATTAACAGAATATAATTGTAAAAAATATTGAACCTAATTCTCTTAAAGCAATAATTAGCAGAAAGTAATAATTTTAAATTTAGACTTTTGATAGTTCAATGTGCGAAATCATTAAAGTTAAATTTTAATTAACATAATTTAATTAAATTGTGAAAAATTTGAAACTGATTCGCTGAAAGACACTGATTCGCAGATTAGAATACTTAACAGTCATGGAGTTATTTTATGTAGCATGCATTTTCTATTAAAACGTTTAACAATTGAAAGAAATATATTAGTTAAATGTTTTTGTCTTAGCCTTTAGCTCTTTTAAGAAAAAGCTGATTACCGTGAAATTACATTTAGCTGTATATGATAATATACCTAATTGCCCACAGTTTTGCTATTCGTGTTTCCTAGCCAGTTCTATATATATTATGAAAGATATGAAATTGCAATTGTCAATTTTGCATTAATTAATTTTGAAATATACTGCTTCATTTTCATAAAATGATGCAACAGAAGCCAATTTTATTTATTTATTTATTTATTTTTTTTAATTTGGCAGTTTCAAAATCCATTTCATCGAATCGGAGAGCTTTACAATTCATCCTTCTATGGAAAAAAGCACCGGAAGAGGAAGTAGAAGTCGATCTTTGAGGGGAAACCGTCCTACTCGTGTCCTTTCCTTGAGGTTTTCGTCAAGTGCGGCTCGTGGGCGGGAGCTTGAGTAATCTACCTGGCCTTCGCGTTACTCATCAATTTCAAAGTTCAACACTTTATCTCATAATGAAAAAGATGTTTTGGATTTTTTGCTTTGCATTTATAGGTAAGTTCATCATTATTATTATTAATATGTATCTAACAAATGGATACCAATGAACAGAATAGTGCTATGCATGATTGCAGGTGCCATAATTTCTTTTTAAACACTGCCAAACGTTTAATTATTACCTTACTTGGCCTATCGTGCCTTCTCATTTTGAAAATAAAAAGCAAAAGTCGGAAAACTTCGCGCAAATTAATCTTAAAATTTGTTTTATCGGATATTCTTCTGTTTATTTACCTTATAAAAAGCTTAGAAACATAAAACTCTCTGATTTTTGTAGTTCATAGAAGTAAATGTATCTAACTATTAATTCAATACTTTTCGTATTAAATTCTTAGTAACCTTATACTCATTAGTACGAGACAGGTCAATTATTGCGTGTTTCAAGCTGCATTTTCAGGTAGCTGGTATGAAAAAATAACTAATCAGATCTAAATGGTATAGGAATAGTTTTGAATTTTATTTTGAGTATAATCAGGCTCGTGTCCTTTTTATGAAATTCTCTAACAATATTAAATATATTTGATGCTTAGATTAAACTAATCATCCTCCAATTAAATGTAATTAATTAAAATTGAATCTGACATAAAATTATAAATATTTAGCATATTTTCATTAATAAGAACATATCGCATACTTTTCTTTTTTCTGTAAAAAATTTCTGTTTTCTTTGAAGATAGTAACTCATTGTACAACTCAACGAAAATATCTGTATAATATATTCAGGCTACATTACTTTCATGAGACCTTCATATTTGGAGACATTTTCAAATTTCCTTCAGTAGAAAAATCAGTTTTAGTTTTATGACAACTTTAATGTCTTGGAATCCTCAACGCAATGATTTCCTGAAACAAATTATAAATAAATTTTGAAACAATTATATTTCAAATGAGAGTTGATATCCTAATTGGGTGCAATACTAGACTAATAAATCAACTACTCGAAACGTTTTACTACTCTGCAATGAGCTTCACATCATATATTCAAGTAGCGAATCACATATTATATATTATACATTAAAGTGAATAACCGTATATGTATTCAAGTAAGAAACTACGTATTATTCATTCATCTAGCACTGCACACGAAACATATTTAAGCAAAAGATTACATACTAGTGATTGTGCGATTTGTACATTTGGTACGGCTTTAATAAGATCAATAAAAGATGATCATCTTGTCTATCACAGAAAAGAGCGGTTTAGTTGACTATAAAAGTTTTCTTTTGTACTGCTTTCGGTAAAGTCACGCATCACGCAAAAAGATTTCCGATGAGCCATTCAGCCATGAGCATTACAAGTTGTCTATTACAGTTCGAGGTCATGGACATAACGTGCCCTCGCTCTAGAACAATGCCGGAAGAAATTCTCCGCCGGGTATCATTACATTTAAGCCGTCTCTTTTGACATTTAAGGGCGAAGTACAAGATTTATTGTTCTTAATCTATTTCTTATCCCTTTTCTTCAAGAGACGCAGTCAAATAAAGTTTCTGAAATTGTAACCTTTTTAATATGCAATGTTTTGAAAACAGCTAATCAAATCTATTTTCATGACAACTCCATAGGAAAAAAAATTATTATTTTATCTCTTATAGGTATTTATAGTGTAAAAAACATAATTATTCCTTATATGCTACCTTATTTTTTTAATAAATTTAGAAAAATCATAGAATCAGATTTATTGTAACAACAGAAGTACCGTAAAAGTAAATATTTTCTATCTGTTATTTTATATTATAATTTAATAAAAACGTGATATGGGAATTGAATTAGTTATTTTTATTTTTAGTCTAAGTGAGTAGAACTGAATTTAGTTCCTTGAGAATAAAATTATTATTAGCGTGCACAGTTAATAATAATGTGAACACATTTTCAAACAACCTCTTCTCTAAAGAAGAAAGTACACAGGCTTATGGCCATTTCTGCAATACAAAGTTCTGTAGGGAAATTATTTTTATTCACGTATACTTTATAAGGTATTTCTCCGCCTTTTTTGCATGCCTTCGTGGGGTACCGGTCAGCACGCTGAACGAGCATTCGAGAGATCCGTGGTTCGAGTCCAGGCTAGGGCATTGCTCATTTTTCATCTCTCCTACTTTCAAAAAATGCCTAATGTCTTTACAACTTTACGTGTCGTTTATAGAGTTTATAAGATCATATTTTTGGAGCTGGGAAATGCGACAAACAAACTATTCATTCGCCGGGATTTGATCTAAGGATCTTCCAGTGTCAACTAGATGTGCCTAAAAACTTACACGTCAAGAACTTGCACCGAAAAATGCGTAAATTCTTCGTTTTTTTCCAGTTCCTGGAAGATGACTTGACTGAGATAGATCTAGTCGATTAAATGCAGATAGTTTCAATCTATCATCCACCGCATATTAATTCGTATACCATAATAACAAAATCATATTTTAGGGGGAGGATGTGTGGACTGAGAAATGTGATAAATCAACCATGCCGTCGTCGGAATTTAAACCAGGGGTCTTCCAATCCAGATGATTGCTTTAATCCCTTATACCACAACAGCCTGCACGGGAGAAAGTGATATTTCTTTATACATTTTTAACCTGAAATATACCAAAGATTACTCAAGTTTTTTTGTTACTGAATTACTTTCTCATAAAAAGTTTAAAAAAATCAAGTAAGAAACAACTGTTATCGTATTTATAAAATCATAGAAACAAAATACTGTTTCTAAAGTTCATACTCCTCCATGAAAATTCCTTTTCCCCTCTCGAGAATTTTAATCTTTTATGTATCATAAACCAAATTGAAATTTTTGAGCAAATTTAGAGTATTTTTTTTATTTTACACATTATGACAGAAAATTATTCGATTGTAAGTCCTTATTTCTCCTATTATGAATGAATACTAAAACTGAAAACATTTGCTTCAATGTTATCGATACTAGTTCAGTGTCATAGTTGCACAAATGAAAGTGAAACACCTAATAATTCTCCTTCTGTTTTCGGTAATTAGATAGGCTTGCTTCTTGAATGTTTCTCAAATGCATTGTGAATAGATACTACTTTCTGAAATTTATCCAGAAACGTGTACTAGATATTAGACAAACTGTCCTATTTTGTATCCCACCAACGGTCGAATGGTAAAAATGCTGAGCACTGTTAATTCGCTCCGGTGTCAAATCTCGGTCAACGGGCTGGCCGCATAAGAGTTTTCGTGTGTTTTTTTCATGTGCAACACGAATACGAGCTTAAAACGTTTTCCTTAAAATTTCCTCCACTCTCCGTCTGTCCTGGAAGACAGCTCTCCAGGGTTTTGCCGTAAGCGAACTCAACCAAACCAAATCTGTATCTTTAAAACAGCTACTTGAAAGCCGTTGCCTGCTCTCTCCGTTTTTGTTCGTAACACCGTCATCGCCATCATTGCAGAGCATTTATTTTCTCCTTCACATCTGAGAGCGTAGTTCAAGTCAGATTTTATTTGTGAGCTTTTTATGAAGCGACACACGCAAGACGAAAAAAGTGAAGCAGAAAGAAAATTAGGCTACTGGAACCCTTTGCTGAAGCTGCCGTTTCCATGGTTACGAGGCAATCGGGTATTCTTAAGTTTCTATACCAGATATAGTATTACTTGAAGAAAATATTTTGTTTTTCTTTCTTTTTAATTGATTAATGACAAAAGAGCTCCTTTTAACGTGCAAAAATTTGTGAATTCATATATCTGCTTCAATTTTTGAAAATATTATTGAAATAAAATTTCGAAACTTATTAAACTTTTCATTTATTTATATAAGCGGGAGTTAAATAAGAGAATGATTTTGTCATTAAATCTGCCTTCACTATGCCTTTTAATGATGATATGATCAATTTTAATTCATATCATTTATAATGTTTCTTACCCTAAATGTAAAAACTGATGACCGATAAAGCATCAAATGTAATTTAAGTTATTTTAGAAAACTCTAAAATGTAATAAACTTTTTTCAGATTTTCATCATTGCTATTCGCATTTAATGGCGAAATCAGAAAATTCTCGTTGTTATTTTAAGGTTCGCTTTTGAAGGTGAATATAGTTTTTCTTCTCTCTCTCTTGTGCCAAATGTCACTGAACCGAAGCTTTTCGAAAAGAATGACTTGCTTGTGGCTGTCCAAGCAAAACAAACATCGTAAAAAAACAACTGCACAATCCCTCTCTTATTGTTAGTCAGAACAGCACTTCTGTTATTCATCGGCCTGAAACTCAAAGTAGAATGGTAAAAACATTTAAGAATAAAAAATTCCATTCAGTCAGTTATTTATTTTGGCAATCCAGTGTCCAGCAGTTTAAATTTTCTCAGTCTGCTGAATAGATAACAGAAGTATTTGATTTTTAGTTTTTCAAAAATAAATAAATAGATAAAAGCTGTTTTTTAATTTGCTAAACAGAATGTTGGAAGTCTTATGAAACATTTGTGGAAAACCTTCTTTCCATCTTTTATAATATAAGCACCAATACTTTGCTAGCTATAATTTAATTATCATTTAATTATCAGTAGATATATTGATCAGTTAAAACATTTCAATAAATCAGTGATCTAATAGTTCTGTCTAGGGTGCTGGATTGAAGATTAAATAATTAAAATTCTTTATATTCTTATCGGCACTGAAAATAATTATTTCTTCTCCGGTATAAAAATGTTCACAATACTATTGCAAGTGTTCTCTAAAGGTGAATGGCTTAGTTTATGTCATGACAACAAAGCATCGAAGGTTATCTCCCTAAGGGGAGGGAATGTATGAAATGTTCTAGGTTTGTGACTCCAGTTTAAGAGCTTAATCAAGTAAATTACGCTTTCAGATTGTGAAACTTTTGTTCACGTGAAGCATTTGAATATAAGCGCATGAAATTAAATTTTTTTGAAGTTCTTATACAAGACAATGCAAATATTTTAAGAATTAAGGCCATTTCTAGCATCTATTAGAAGGGTTGGTCAATTCTTTTTATATATTAGTCAGCAAATTTACATTGAATATCCAGATTTGATTACCTGCGAGGGCACAGGAAGTTTCTCAAGATTCTTTTTTCCCAAAATTCTGCTTCCTCAAGAATCAAGTGCATATAATGGATGAACTTTTATTACCAACTTGAACTGGTTGATTGTAAGTCATCAACCCTCCCAACTATCTCTTAGGTGAAGCAAAAGTAAGAGTTTCAATACATACATTCCGTATACTCTTGTGTTATAATGCCCAGCATATTAGTATGGTTCAGCAGAGCAATATGTGTTCAGTGTGGTTCAGAATCGATTCCCTGCTAGGGCACAGTAAATTTCTGAAAGATACTAGCTACAAACGTCGTCATGTCTCTATAAATTTCTAGACGATGTAGTTAAAATAAGACAAATATGGATTATAAATATGTATTTGAATTTTCATTTATATAAATACTAAATTAGAAACTATATAATTCAGTTTCTATATCGCTACTAAAAGTCAAAGGTTTCTGCTTTTTGTTTTCTTGAGAGAAAATATTAAATCAGATTAGATAATTCTGTAATTTTTTTAGGGACGATTTTGCGAATTAGGAAACTAGGATTTTTTTAAAGTTTCTTTAGTTGGATGAGAAGTGAATGAATAAATTGGAATTTCCTCTGTGGATTTGTAAAAGTTTTCCTTTTTTTGCATTTTCACTAAAAGCTGTCACTTGAATGTAGTTTGAAAGCCTGTTTTACTTTTTTAAACTAGAAGTGTTGATTTATGACAGAGAATTCTATACATATTTAGATATGCAATCTTTTAGACTTCCAGTTCCCATGTATAAAGTGATTTGAAGAAAGATAATATAAGCTTTATTTACTTAAATATTAATCATATACATGTAAATCTATTTATAAAATTTCTCAGAGTAAGGTAGAGGACTTAAAAAAAAAACAATTGCAATACTGAAATTAGCAGTGCTTTCTAAATTAATTTTTTATTTGGTCCCTGCAAATTACAATCAGTAAAACGCTATTATGCTTCCATATATTAAATTCAAAATATTCAATAACTTTAGCACAAAATTAATGGAAATATAAGACAGAAAACTCTACTAACTTAGAATCACTTTTCAATATATAGCGTGGAGCAAATATAAATTTAAAGAAGAATTGCGAAACAAATGTTGCCTTGCTTTGGCAATTAAAAATGGCCAAAAGAAATTGGTTTGTGTTCCAAATACATACGGGTAAAAGAATTAAACTCTTATTAAGCTCATCCATTCATTTCTCGTGAATGCAACTGCGAATTCGTTATCCCAACTAAGCTATGCTTAACTTTTTTTCAGTTAAAAAAATAACTTTTATTAACAATTTGCGTATCCCCCATTTAATTGTAACTTGTTGGACTCAGAAAGCAAATGTAAAGTATAAACTTACAATAAAAAATAAGAAACAGAAATATGACATAGACACTTATATTCAAGATGCAATCTTGAATCAATTTTTCTCAGAAGAGATAACAAGCTTACTTACTCTAGTGTAAAAGGCCATAACAAAAGCGAAACTTTTAGGTGCACGTGACCTGCTGAAACGAGCTACTGACTTAAAGAAGGAATTGCTCTTCAATGCTTCATCGCGCAAAACTTCAAGCGTGGCTGAGTGAAAGAAATCCATTCTTAATACATCATGAGCGCCCAGTAGCACCCACATTTTTTCTTATTTCTTGCACAAACCTCCAGATATATTCAGTCAATACATTCAAATCCTGCGGTCGTGGTAATACTCATTCAGAAGACTGATAAGTATATGATGATTGTTGTTTGTGGCATATCGTGGAAAGATTTCAAAATCTTATATTTTTTATATTTAGCTCTAGAAACGACATATACATTTGCAAATGAATGCAATAGCAGTCATGTTGAACCATGTTTCGATGATCTGGTAATTTATGAAGATCTAGCTTTCCCCCTGTATGGAGCAAATGAGGATGAACTGAATGAAACATGCAGGTAAGTAGTTTATTTTTATTCAATTGTTTATCGTTAATCGAATTTTAATAAAAGTCATTGAATGAAAATTTTTTTAAATATTTTTTATGATTTTGCTTAAGATCAATACAATGATTTATAGAAATTTCTAACCAGAAATAAGTAAGTAAAATATTTTAAATATAATAAAATAATTATGAATTTTAATAGGGAATTCTATAGTGAATAAAGCTTCAGAAAGCCAACTTAACCACTCTGAAACGGCTAATGGCCAAATGAACGAGACTGCTAAACATTAATTTTCTGACTCGCTATGAGCTAGTTTCCCTTAGAAAACCACCGCGAAGGCTTCGTTCTTAGGGTAAATAGCCTGGATGTGTGCTTTGTTTTAACAAATGAACCTTTTAATCGAAGATTTATTTTAATCAATTAACCGTTTAAGCGGCCTTGGATTCAATTTCAGGTGTTTCGACTGACTGTGGGAGTTATGTGGTTTCTCCATGTGTAACATGAGCATCTAGCCAGTTTTCCTTTAAAATTCTTTCATAAAGATAAACATGTATAGCCATAAATCCCTCGACGTACCTTGCCATATGTAATCGGCCAGCCGATAAGCTACTTAAATTTTATTTCTTTCAAATAAGAAATTTCTCATAAAGCGTATATAAGAATGATCGTAATTACATGAGCAGTGAAGTTCTTTATACATATTTGCTACTCCTTTTGTTCGAAAGGAAACTTTCGTTCATATTTTAATTAAGATACGATTTCGAAGATAAATTTCGAAGCAATGCTTAACAGTATATTTCAACTATAAATTTTACATAAATGATTTAAGACTTCCATTTTAATTTTTTATATCTCGGTGTCCTCTTATCTAAAAAGAGAAGTCAATGAAATTTATTTTACATCTAACAACTTTATTCTATCGTCTGCAGTCGCAATCACTGTGTTTTAAATTTGATTCACTATTTAAAATTAAAACTGATGCTGCGAAAATATTTCATGCAATAGACGTAAAAGCTGATGAAAATTCATAATCTTATTCTTCCAATAACACTTTGTCCCAGAAGACATTTAAGTCAATTACATTTTTATATATTTCTTAATGCATTTTCATCCATATTTCATTTTATAGGTTTGATTAACGCTTGTAGACGGTTTTTAAAGATGTGTCGTTATTGCGTCTTATTAGATAGTTTATTTCTGGACACATTTTATCAATAATACGAAAATGCATTTGTTGTGAAGTGTCCTCAATTTCTATCATATAAAGCATTTTAACATCGGTTATTACACAGAGGTCAGAGCTGGAAAGTGCAGAAAATTGGCAGTAACTTTTCAGTTTGAATTTCGGTGAGAATCTGAATTCATGAAGCGTATCATCAGAGAGACACAATTGGATGCTATTGCGCATAGTATCTCTGCACAAACTGGGTCCACAGAATTACCCGATTATATCCCGTTTCCATACTCTAAAAACATTGTAAGAAGGCAAATTTAAAATACATGTCAGAGATATATGGCTTTTCTGAGAAATGTTCTTTAATACAATTAATCCAAATGATATATCAGTGATCCCCCCAAATTTCCCAAAAATGTTATTTATCTGAATGTTGATTTATCTGCAGAAGTTTATAATACGTTATTTGATATCCCCTTCAATGTATTTAACTTCAAAGCTTCAACGCTTTGATGCTCTCTTCAAAATAGGCTAAAATAATTCTTTCAAATCCTTTTAAAGTGCTTCATCAAACTTGAGATGTCCACTAATTCCTTACGAATTTCACGAAAGTAGAACCTTCTTGTTAAGTCCTGTCCTTCATAAGCTGAAATGATACAGAGTGAAGAAGTAATTGCCTTTAACTTATACTGCCATGCAAAATTGATCAGGTTGTAATGCCTTTCATAAAAACAACCTTATTGAATGATTACATATACAATTACAGACACATAAAATACTGTTTTAAGTCTGTTATTTAATTTACAGTTATTTTTAACTTTTATACGCATTCCGTGATAATAATAAAGAATTCATCCAACTGGCAGAAAAACAAATCTTTCGGTACACCAAATTGAAACTTAACTTTCGGTCCCACTGAGCAGAAAGATACTCAAGTTAGTGGGCCAACTGGGGGACTTGATACATTATCCTGTTGTGAGTTTCATATGTAAAAAAATGCCTCTTCGCTAGGCTTAGCTAAAAATACACTTTTGACTTGTTAATATTCTATTGCATGCACATTAACTGAGGGCATAAAAACCTTAACCGTAAAACCATAACAACATAATTAAATCACATTTAAAGCAAAAAATGCGCAATTTACCAATATAGAAGAAATATCTCACGTGGACACCACATGACTTTCTTGTACGGCCTATTAAATATTGTTTTTAGAACAGCAATAAATTAATAATAACTATTGTTAGATATTTACTGCTAAACTAAATGCATATATAAATAGTTATTAAGCATGTAGTTAGATTTTTTTTCCGAAAATCCTTTTCTTTTAATATAACGTTCCCAAAAATGAATATTTTCGTCATGTAAAATACTTCTGTAATTAGAATTATATGATTGCGACCAACGACTCAGAAAATAAAATTGGGGTAAGGACTCTTAAGCTGGGTATGGGAGTGGTACACTGCTCAAAACAGGGCATATTGTGAGTTCGGGATGAAAAAAACCCTATAATCATTAACCTTTTTAATAAAAATGAGATAGAAAAGGTTTAAACGGAAAATTACAAAGTTAAGAATATGGACATTTTTTCTGTGATGTCGAAAATCCTTTTAGATAAGGAGTAGAAAAGTGATCTGCAGTATTCCTTCTGTAAGAAAAATATTAAAAATAACTGGCACGCATCAAATGTTTCGCAACAGTAAATACGATGTCCAACAAGATGACTTAATTGAATTGGAAACGAAAAGAGCAAGCCGGTCGCTTAAAGGTGGGTCAAACGCCATCAGTTATAGCGGAAACGTTAAGAGTTTCTCCAAATGTCATTTTTAAGCTATGGAATCGGTTTTCGGAAACTCGAAATTTTCGCCGAAGATCGGAACAAGGACATACGCTTGCAAAAGCACAAAATGACGATCAATATTTAAGACTAACGGCCAGAAGAAGCCGCAATATGAACGCCACTTTCTTGTAACAGTACTTTCAGATGGCTACTGGTATTAGAGTTTCGACTCAAACTATTCGATACCAAAACCGCTATGTGGGTTTGTGTGCTCACAGACCTATTGCTTGTTTTTCTTTGACACAAGACCACTGTGCTGTTCGCAGAAGGTGAGAATAGCAGTATCTCAGATGGGACGAGATGAATAGAGTAACGTGCTATTCACGGAAGCGTTCCGCTTTAATATACAACCTGACAATAAAAGGATTCCCTTCTAGAGAGAACTTGGTACAGGGAAATTTTCTGCATTTGTGCATGAAAGTGTCCAATTTCGCGTGGGTGTTGTGATGATCTGGACCGGTATTTCTATCAGTGGCCGCACCGACCTGCACATTACCAGGAATTTCCGAGCATTAAAGGCTCAGGATATAGGCATGAGATCTTCAGACCTCTGTAGTCTTTTACGCTACAGCAATCGGGATGAGTTCATTCTCCCGGATGATAACGCCAGACCACACACATTATCCTCAGATAGTGGACAATTTTCTTTTCGACTAAGGAATCCTTCGCATGGGTTGGCCAGCATGTTTCCCAGATATTAACACGTTAGAACAGAATAGAACATTAATTTCAAAGCTAAACAACAACTTAAAGACTAAATATGCTTGGAACATCTTACGGGGAAGGGTTTCTAGTTGCGTATCACCCCCAGAAACAGTTCAACAGTTGAAAAGCTCTCTTAACAGGAGTGAGACAGAGTGCGACAGTCCCTTATTGATTCCGTGCTTCGTAAGGTGTGCGACATCGCTTTCGGTCAGAGGAAACCATACCCCTTATTGAAACCCATTTGTATCCGAGAAATTCCATTTTTTTTGTTTGTATAGTATGAGCAAATTATGCATTTTTTTCTCTCGAAAAGTATCTTCAATAAAATTTAAATATTCCTTGTTCGTTGCTTCTTTTCCTTTTCTCATATCTTAGAACACCCATGCATCATATATCAGTCATCAAAACATTTCATCATCCTAAGTTTATGTCCGAAATCATAATATACCCTGATTAATTTCAGCAGTTCATGTATGCATATATACTTTTGATATTGCCAATTGCAAGGAAGAAAGGAGGTGCACAGTTAGATATTATAGCAGTCTCATATACAAAATTTCCATGTCCTATGGCTAATCGTTTTTGAAGTATCGGAGATAGATACATACACACGCATGTAAAGACATCACGAAGAAATGTCTCTTGAATTTACACTCATGTCCATAAATTAAGGATAATGCAAAATCAGGCAAAGGAAGAGTTAGAAGCAAAACAAATTTGACTTATTTGTAAAGCTTATTTATTAAACAAAAGGTAAAGAGCAAAAAAGATGCTATATGTTTGATATTATTAAAAAATTAGCGATTTTTTCTCCCTGGAGCAAATTACAAAAAAAAAAAACCTATTTACAAAAAAACCAATATTACATGGTTGGTATGATTGTTAATACATTGTATGTCTCCCAGACGATGCAATACAGTCCGTACAACGCCTAGGCATGCTGAGTATCAAATTATCGATCTGATCTTGGGGGATATTACACCACTCAAAAAGCAATGCTCTCCGAAGTTCCGGTAGACATGTAGGAGGAGGTTGACGGGCTGCAACTCGTCGGCCAAGCATGTCCCACACGTGCTCTACTGGATTCAAGTCCGGTGAGAATGCTGGCCAGTCCATACGGGTGATATCCTCCGATTGAAGGCGTTCGCTTACGATGTTTGCACGGTGAGGAACGGGCGTTGTCATCCATAAACACAAATTGTGCGCCCATGGCGCCCCGAAACAAACGTACATGTTGTTCCAGAATGACGTCCCGATAGATTTGGCTTGTCATGGTTCCAATTTGAACATGCA